ATTTATTATATCTTTATTCTTCACGAGTTAGAAAGGTTAGAAATGAGAACAACTAGTTGATTGGGGAAAATTGATCATAATAATTATTAAATTGGATATTCATTACGATTCCAATTTTGGAATTCTTTTTATCGCGTGAAAAATATATTTAAAAGAGGGATCATCTATTTCTCTTTTTTTTTTTTTTTTTTTTTTATGCCTTTGTTTTTGATATTTTTTATTAATATTTTTTATTTCCACTTCACTTTTTAATAATGAAATTAAATAATTTTATCGTCGTATTTCCTGATTTCTTTACTATTATTACTACAGTTATAATTTCTCAAGGTAACAGAGACAAAAAAAAAAAATTTGTTAAAAAAGTTCGCGTTGAAAATTATCTAAATCAAGTATTTAATCATTTTTTTAAGTTATTACCACGTGTTATTATGCTTATAATGTATTTGGTAGACTTCAAATGAAACTTCGTCGTACTTTATTAACACCAGCGGAAAGAGAGTCATTAGCATATGATATACCACAAACTGGGCCCATGGTAACACTTATTATCTCTAATTTTATTTATCAGTCTCACTATTTCAAGATAAAAATGATAAATTTTTCTTAAATTATTTTTTAAAGGCAAGTATCGTTGCTACCATTATCTTGACTTTAATTGTTCATGAATTACAATCCTTTTGTGAAATTGAAAATTATTCGACCGCAATAACTATGAATTTATTCTTATGGCTTGGTAAGTGAATTATCATTTAAGATCATTCAATTTATTCCTTTTTGTAAAACATCTTTTTTTTCATCCTTTATTCTTTTGATAGTTGCAAGTGCTTTGTCATTTACGCGATACATTTCCTATAACTTGTCCGCGTCATTATTCTTTATTGACACGATACACGATTGTATCCAATTGATAGGAATAGCTATAACTATACAATATTTTCATTAATAATGATCCTTTATTTTTTTTTCAAAGTATAATAAGAATGACCACGGGATAAATACATTTAATCAATAAAAATTCTCGATTCTCTTTTTTCCTAAAAAGTAATTTAATATTTCTTATTTTTTTCTTGATTTCTCTAATCTTTTCTCAAATCAACTCTTTCAACCGTAACACCACCTTGTTTGATGACAAAAATTTCAAGAAAATCGCCAGTGTAAATGTCCCTTTCAGACGCTGATGTGAACGCATCTTTTGTAATACTAATAGCTGATTCCAGAGAAATCTCGCTTTGTTGAACAATTTGCTGATTTTGATGTCCAACCTAATAAATTATGACTTAAACTTAATACCTTAATAGATTAAACATTAAGTCAATATATATAATAAAACCCTTGCCTGATTATCTAAAAATGGTTGAATCAACGTTGAAGCAGATCCAACGGACTTATAGGGTTCAGGTCCATAGGATCCCATTGGATCGTAACTATATGCAACACCTCTACCTATATATATAAAAACAAATCATTTTGATTAATACATTTTCCTAATATAAAATAAGATGATAAATTTTATATTTATACTTTACCTTGTTCATCGATCCCTCCCACCAAGCAGAATGAATAGTATGGAAAAAATCGTTTATAGTATAAAGTATTTGACAACATTTGAGCTATTGCTGGTGTTGACATTACCTTATCGTGAGCGTGTTTATACCACTGGCAAAAAAAAAAAATTGTTAGCAATCAAAAATTCATTGAATTGAATCTATTGTCTAATTCGTCAATAAAATATTTCTTATTACCTCCAAGTTTTGACTAAGTTTTTTGAACAACGCGAGACTATCGGCAGAAAATCCACTTGCGGTAATCACCGCATTATCGGTTCTAGATTGTCAAAAAAACAAAATCGTAAATAGAATTGTATGATGAAGAATAAAATCATTTTTCTCGAGTAAAAAATTCAAATTAAATTACAATTTAAAAGTTTTGGGTGCATAACGTGAATTTATTTGAAAACCAACGCTTTGACGGGTATCGGAAGCAACCACACAGAAATCAGAACCTTTTATAACTAACGATGTGCTATTTATTATTAAAATTTAAGTTTCAAATGCTGTATCAGTAACTTTCTTTGACAATTGAAAATTTTCATGGTAGACACTTTTTTTTCTAGTTTTGCATATAAAAAACAGTACTGTAAAGGTAAACAGTACCCGCCATTCATCTCATATGGATCAAACTGATGTTGTTTAGCTGCAGAAGTGAGAGGTTCATGATTATATAAAGCGACAGGATTCATTGCGAAAAAGTTATAGTGATAAATTGGAGGTTTTTTTTTTTCATTCATTTAAAAAGTCAGTATCCTGTGCCGATCTACTGCAAGATCGACAACATACTCAACTTCGTAATCATTGTGCGTCATTCATCTTATCAAAATATATATATATATATATTTTCAAATTTTAGAATTTTAGTTTTTACGTTTATTTATAATGGATTCCTTTGTTAATAAATTTAAGAAGTCAACGTCAACATGGCGAGACCAGGACATGATCGTTAATTTTGACGTTACGAAAGAATTTTCTTTACCAACGTTTGACATTCCTCCTTGTCATAATGTACGTGCTTTTAATAAAAAAATATTAATTATCCAAATCCTCTCAAAGGTTTAATAAATTAAAACTATTATTTAACCTTTATTAGCCTATCGAGTTTTTGAAAAGTCATACAGACGAAAATTCAAACCCTGAATGTCGAATTAAGTTTAAGCATGGTACTACAACTCTTGCGTTTAAATATCAAGGAGGTATTATAGTTGCTGTTGATTCGCGTGCAACTTCTGGATCTACAATTGGTGAGTTAAATAATTTACTATAATTCTTTTACTTTCATGAAATCAGCGTGTAATTTTTCTTTTAAAATAATTTAGCTACACAAAACATTAAAAAGGTTATCGAAATAAACCCTTATCTGTTGGGGACAATGGCCGGTGGTGCCGCCGATTGCACATTCTGGGAAAGAGAATTAGGTAGACGTTGCAGGTAATATGATTTTAAATTTCAAGCTTTAAAGGTGATATAATTAAATGTTAAAATTTCTTTTCTTTAGATTATACGAATTGAGAAACAAGGAACGAATTTCCGTAACAGCAGCTTCAAAGTTATTAGGGAATATTGTTTATTCATTTAAGGGAATGGGACTCTCAATGGTATGTAAAAAGCGTCAAAAGTAACTTGTTAGAATTTTTTGATTAACAAAGTACCTTATATATCCAGGGAACTATGGTTGTCGGTTGGGACAAAACTGTGAGTATGATATACGCATTTCATCTTTATGATAAATGATATTAAATGGTTGTATTTCATAGGGTCCAAAAATTTTCTACGTGGATGCAGATGGAACTCGCATGAAAGGAGATTTATTCTCAGTTGGATCCGGGTCTACATTTGCCTATGGAGTGTTGGGTAGTGGATATGATCATGATTTATCTGATAATGATGCTGCTGAACTTGGACGACGGGCGGTGTATCATGCTGCTCATAGGGATGCTGCTTCCGGTGGTAACATTCATGGTATGTTATAATTTTATATCCTTCAATCCTCACCATTTGATAAGTTTTAACTTTAAATAATTCTCTTTTTTAAATACTTTTGGGCATTAAAATTTTTAGTATATCATGTAAAACAAACTGGATGGGAATTTTTAGGAATTCGAAACTTTGATGATTTGCATTGGGAATATCAAGATCAACCAAAACCAAGTATAATTGGAGATGTACAGCCAATGATGCTCAATATTCAAGAGTAAAAATTATTTACTTGCAAATAGATTTTAAAAATTCTCTGTCTCTAGTTATTGAATTGTAAAAAAAAAAAAAATTGGATAAAGATCATCCAAAATAAATTTTATTTCAATGTTACACGACATAAGTCATTTCCTTATATGGCTTCTTTTTTTTCACTGCGATTACTTTCCTTTTCAAATATGTCTTCAGATAATTTATATACAACGCATAATATTCGTTATTTACGAATTTCAGAAAAACAAGTGCTACCTTTAATAATTTATCTTCGTCAAGAAAATCTTTTATGGTTTAACGACATAATATTTCAGGTAGAAGTTTAGAATAAATATTAAACGCGTCGCTTAAAATATTTATTCATTATTATTTTATAGGAAATACTTTCAGCTTTACAAAGAATAATTCCAAAGATATTTTCGCGAAAAAAGAAAAATGTTAGTAATAAATTACTTTCAGATATTTACCGCGGATGTGAGTTTATCATATTCGATAAAGAAGATTTATTTTATTTTATAATTTATAATTTAATTTTCTTATCGTCCTTTTTAAAATTCACAGCAAATTTCCAATTCGCTTATTATATTAAACCTACAGAAGTTAAACATTCGATATTAATAAAGGTCTTATATGACGCGTCTTTCCTTTTACATCACCTTTTATTGATATTAATCTACACATCTTTTAACAGGATAAAACTTCGATTTTTCCTTCAGATAAAATGAATGCTTCTGTATCGAAATCGCAAATGGAACAAGAAAATATCAATGTCTCGAGAGAAGATCCATCAACAAATACTAATCATGATGACCATAATGATGATGATGATACAAAACCAAAGTTAAATCTTACATATCAAGGATATAATATCTTTAGAAAATCTTTAGTGCTAATAGTTGAACCACTTGACAAAATCATTGAATTCGGGGATAATGTTCAAATTGCTACAGCAATGACGATTGATGATTATTTTGGTAGAGATGAAGAAAGCGAATTATAATTTTATAATGATTTAATAAATTACATGATAAATACCTCTATATATATATATTATATAAATTATATAAATTAAAAAAAATAGGATTTCTAAAAAGAAAAGATTCCTCAATTCTCAAATTACTTTTAGTCATGATCTTCCTCCTCATAACCAGGGCATTCCTGATCCATTTCTTCAGCACTCCCGTATTCACACCCACACCAGAAACAATATTGATACTTTTCTCGCAAGTACCTCAAAACACAGTCTAGTTGTTCTCGGGGCTGTAAAAAAAAAATTTTTTTTTTATTAATTGATTGGAAGAATAACAATAATAACGATACAAAATTCGATTATATGTTCATACTTCAAGACTTTCAAAGCCTTTGGCTTTTCTCTCTTCGCTTTGGTCTTCTTTATCGTCTTCTACAACTTGCTCTTCAAATAATATTAGGTCCTTGTCGTTATTATTCTCTAATTCTTCTTCTACTGTCTCTTCATGTCGCCAATAAATATTATCCTTATTTTAAAAATAAAAGAAAGGATTGGATTGGATTAGAAATCGGTTGTTAAATGTAGACATTGAATTGAATTTCAGTTCTTTACCTCAATTCCCTGTTGTAAAAAGAAATATTTGTTAATACATGTGTAAGGTTAAACCATTGGGAACATTTTTTGCATTTAAAAAAATTTAAAAGGTTACATGTTTCGTATCCAACGTCTCGCATATGATTTGTAATTTTCTTAGATGACCTTTCACGCGTTTTTCAAGTTTTTCTTGACGGACACGTTCACGAAACGAATCCTCTTCAACTCTCGTTCGTTTTGCAACTTTGGCAAGTTCAACCTGGGCTTTATGCTTTATTTCGGTAGCCATACCTAAACCAAGCTTATCTAAACGAAATCATTATAAATTGTCTTTAATTACGCTACAAAACCAATATTGCAACGCAAGCTTCAACTAAATTAATAACTACCTTGTTTCAGTTCAATTTTCAATGGTTCTGTTCTTCCAAAATTGTTAGGATCTTTTCCCAAACCCTTGCCTTGCTCGTAACCCATCTTTTTAAGTAATTTTAAACCCGGTGATTCATTCTCTTCGGTATCGATCCGTTTAGCGAGAGCTTGTTCACGATGTTCCTTTTCAAGTTCAAAGCGAGTCTTATTATAACCTTTATTTGATAATTTTTTCTGGCGACGTCGTTCAGAGTAGGTTAGAGGTGGTGAAGGTTCAGGTGGTGGTTCGGTTAGGAATTTTGATGACATATAGTCGTCTGAATCAGACATAGTGGGTAATGTAATAATAGGAAAACGCGACTAAAAATAAACATCCAAATTATTTGAAAATTATCACGTGAAATTCAACTGTCAAACTTGTTCATTTATGGTGCTACCAAAAGTTTTTAAATACAGAGAAAATTTGGAGTCTTTTTTTTATCTTTCAATTAAAAATTTTTTTTCTACAAAATGCCCGATGAAAAGAAGCTTCCCTGGGGAATCAATTCAACAAAACCGGGTTCCGCTAAGGTATAATTTATCCGATGAAAAAAATACAACCTCAGTTTTAACGACATTTGGTTTTGCATAGTTTTCTGATCTTCCCTCCTCGGATGTTTTAGACCTTAACAAAAACAAAATTACAAGCTTTTAGTATTGGTACACATAAAAAGACACCATTTCAAAAACATAAGGAAGAACTTGAATTAAAGAAAAAGGTAGTGTCTATCTACAAAAAGTCATTATTAAAGGAGTTTTTCGAAACTTAACCTTTTGTAATTTATCTCGAATTTTTAGCAAGAATCTGAAGAAGCCGCAAAAGTCTATGCTGAATTTGTTGCCTCGTTTGAAAAAGAGGAAGGAGCAGGAAAAACATTCGTTAAAGGCGAAACTATAGTACCGAAACGTGAGCATTTCATGGTTTTATCAACCTGAATTACTATTGTTTTAAATAATGTTTTAATAATCTATTTTTTCATTTCAGTGTTGTTTGATCATGAAGCAGTCATTACAAAAAAGGAAATTACTACAACATCTACATCCACACCTAAACTTTACAAACCACAACCTTTCATTAATGCCTCAAAACCTATACAATCGGAAATAAAAATCGAGAATTCTGAAGAAAGCCCCGAAAAGGATGAGGTGAAGATATTTCAATCATATTTGTAAAGATGAACTGAAAATATATTAATATTAATAGTATTCATTTATCAAGGATGAAGAAAAAAAAGAAGAAAAATCAAAAAGAAAACGTAATCTAGACGCTTTTTTGGAAGAAATAAAACGGTTAGTAAAAAAAAAATGTTTTATGATCTAAATTATTTAAATCTTGTTTAAGAAATGATTTATGATTGATTTTATTATAGTGAACAAGAGGAAAGAGAAGATCGTTTAAGGCAAAAGCATGCAAAACTGGCGGGCGCAGGCCTATCGTCTGGTAAATTTTTTTTTTTTTTTATTAGCATTTTTACATTTTAATTTACAATACATATTTAATATATGTATACATAAGGATTTGTATGCTAGAAACATAACTTACTGGTTTAATTTAGAGGCAGGTAGTGACGAATTCGCTCCTACCTCTCTCACTGTTAAAGCCGGTGAGTTTAGGCTCACCATCAATTTTAATATGCTAATTAATTTTAATAATTATTTATTAATATACTTCTCGGTTCCTTTTAGCGTTTGAAGATAGGCCGGGTTCACATGATACTGGAGATCCAAATACAACCAATTTATATGTTGGAAATATAAGCCCCGAGGTGAGCACTCTTTTTAAGTGACGGTTAATTATAATTTAGGATCAGAAGGGATCGTTTAATTTTTAATAATTCTTGAAAAGGTGAATGAAGAAATGTTGTGTAAAGAATTTGCAAAATATGGTCCCATAGCTAGTGTAAAAATCATGTGGCCCCGTACTCAAGAAGAGAAAGATAGAAATCGAAACTGTGGTTTCGTTAGTTTTATGGACAGAGAATGTGCAGCTCAGGCTTTAAAAAATATGGATGGCAAAGAATTGCTCGGATATATTATGCGTGTTGGTTGGGGAAAAGCAGTTCCTATTCCACCGAAGCCTATTTACGGTATGTTCTATAATCTGAAGGTGTCCACGCGTATATATGACTTCTTTTTAATTACCTAATTATTCAATTAGTATTGAACGAAGGAGTTCGTCCTCCACCGAGTGGCTTACCTTTTAACGCGCAGATGATTCACACAAAAGGTGGATTCATTAATTATTGTAATCTTTTTAGTATTTCTATCATTATCATTAATCATATTTCGATATATATGTAGTATATACAAATGTACCACCGCCTGGCGCCTCTACGGTGGGTTAAATTTGCTATTTTAATATATAGACGACATTGTACTCATTCTCATTTGTCACTTATAGGTTGCACCCAAGGGTCCTCGCCTTGAGGTTCACGTAACTCGTCCTGAAGATTCTCAAATCGTTAAGATAATACATCGTATGGTTGAACGAGTTGTTAAATTTGGTCCACCATTTGAGGTATGATAATATTTTATTTACAGGTGTCATTTCAAGTTACTTATAGTAAACCTTCGATTTTTTAATAAACACAGGCAATCATAATGGATCGCGAATGGAATAATCCAAAATTCTCATTTTTATTCCAAAATGACGTGCGTAGAATTTTAATGTCAATTTAATTTATTAAACTCACAGAAAGGTTATCTGACCATATTTAAATATATATTTTTGATCTAGTCACTTGAGCACGTATATTATCGGTGGAGATTATACTCTATACTTCAAGGAGATCCCAAGAATAAATGGCGCACCGAACCTTTTCATATGTTCGATGAAGGACCCATTTGGGCACCTCCCGAGATACCGTTTGATGAAGACGTTGGTATTATAGTATACCATCAACAGATTTTAAGTTTTTTCTAGCTTGTCTTACCTATTCTTTTTGGGCAACAGGCAGCAGATGAATTATTAGATTCCGATGAAGAAGATGAACGTGAACGAGAACGTATACCTAAAGGAACTTTAGGACCTAAAGCAAGGCACCGCATGGAAGTAATGCTACGAAAATTGACTTTCGAACGAGGTGCCATTGCTAAATCTATGGCCTTTGCAATTGATCATTCTGACGCGGCAGATGAGGTACTGTACCATAAGAGTAATTTTCTTATCAAATTGCTATTGTTTTTGATACATTGAATATTTTACAGATTGTTGAGATTATATGCAAGACTCTCATGATTAAAGGAACTCCTATTCCCACTAAAGTTGCGCGATTATATTTAGTATCAGATATATTACATAATAGTAGCGTTTCAGTACCAAACGCTTGGAAATTCAGAACTGGGTAAGTGGATTTATTGTATTGAATATAGGGTCCCTTAAAAAAATTTATAAACAATTTGTCAATGCTTTCTAATACATGATGCTTTCAATTTATTAATTAGATTTGAGAGTAAATTGCCAGAAGTATTTGAGCATTTGAACGAGATATATAGATCTATTGCGGCTAGGTTGAAAGCGGAGACATTCAGGGTAAGCGACCAAGGGGGTTTGAGATTCTTTACTTGGCGTTAATTATTTGTTCAACCTTGTCCAAAAGAAAAGATTCTTTTCACCTTTTTACGCACATTTTCGAAACGAATCTCAATTTATGTTGTTAATTCGATTTAACGATGTGGCGTTTACTCACCTCTCTCTTCGTGAAACCTTTAATCTTTAAATTTCTTTTAAAAACCACATCATAAAACAATTTAAATTTATATAGCGTCAAATTACAACTATTCTCACCGTTTGGGAAAACTGGATCGTTTTCCCACAACCTTATATTGAATCATTAACAAATACATTTATGAAGAATACAAAAGAAGGTGACAATCTTACGCATTCTTCAATACCACAATCAGCCACACCATCATCATCGTCTTCAGTTGATGGAAACGCGAATAGTTTTGATGGTGTGCCAATGAATATGGTTATTGATGGTGAATCATCAAATAAATCAAGTACAGGTGGTATATTAGGTGTAAGAACGAGATGGGATAATGATGAAGATGAGGATAATAATCAAAACAATAGTATGAAAGGTATTCGATTAATGTCGGAAATAGAATTGACGAAACTTAATGAAATTAAAGATGGTGGATCTAAAAGAATCACTTTAGGAGATGAAATGGACGACGAAGTGGATGACATTTTTGCTTAATTAATTAATTATATGTATTTTTTTTCCCCTGGTTTCTTTTTTATATACATATTGGATTGACTTTTACATAATCGGAAGAAATTTTAACATATAATTTGTACACATAATCGGAAAATACTCATAATTTTTGTAGCGTTTACTGTGACCTACATTTATCTTTTTGATCTTGAAAATCAATTTATTTTCAATTCTTGATAAAATTTAAAGTAAAAAAATTTAACTGATTTATTAGAACTCAATTATGTACATCGAATTATTATTTATTATATTTACATGATACACCTTTCTTTTAATCTATTTAAATAATTCATAATTTCTTCATTTTTATCATCTTGATTTTCGTAAAAATAATCCAAGATTTTAGTTAAAGCTGACAGATTTATATTTTCATTTGTTTGCATTGTTCGCACCTGCCTTTTAAAAGAGTTAGTACTAGTTAATATATATAAAAATTCTATAGAAATATATTTATGGATTATCCATACCTTGGTGAGAATTGATCATTAGACATTATACAAGCATTCAACTGATATATTTTTTTTTAAAAAAAAAAAAAAAAATGAATAAACATTTTAAAAATTCTTTAAGAAAAAGAAAAGTTCATTTACAATTTCTTCCATGAATTCTAATGATTTGGTTTTAGACCATAATCCTAACGTTATATCTACTATCACAAGATTACTTTTTAATATATGTTGATATTGTCCGAGACATTTGAGTACTTTTTCTTTTCCGTTTTGTTTTAATTTCAAACATTCTAATTGAAAAATTTTTGGTGAATTCATGTATAAAACGTTTAAAATTTTATATAATCCATATTTTACCTCTTATCGATGTAATCAAATCACCTATGGCATTACTAAAAATCATAATATTGTTATCTTCACGTGGATAAATTAACCAGGCTAGATAATTGATGGGTTCTTGTAGCTTTGAATATTTATATGAATGTATTAATAATAGTTTACAAATAATTCAAATAATTACTTATATAAATAGCAACCTACATCATGAATCTTTGGAAACCTTTGTACATCGAAAAATGCTTCAATGATCCAATAATGCCATTTTGTGAATGACATTAAAGTTATCCAGACACATTTTCTGTAATTATGTATGACTGAAGTGCTTTGTTCCAAAAGTAAATTACGTCGAAGAGAATTCATTTTATAAAATGCATGTGTTCCAGGAGTATCATTTGCAAGGACCTGAACAAGGCTTTCTAATAATTTGGGAAAATACTTCCAAGTTAATAAAATAATTTAGTAATTTAATTATTATGTGTACCTTAGATTAAACATAAAAAGATTACCTATATTTAATTTTTATAATTATACATACATAAGTAATATCTAATGAAATAAATCCATTGCGATCCTTGCTTTCAATAATGTACGCTATGGTGTATTTTATTAGACGTAATACGCGCCAATCGGGAGAGACTTCCAAACATTTAATAAACACATCAAAACACAAGCCAAATATCTTCGGATATTTTATAACATGATAGAAAAACGGTTTATTTTGGAGAAATTCCGTGATACTACGAGGGGTCATATAATCCTTGTTTACCGGAAAAAGAAGCTGTTGAAAAGTCGCCAAAGTCTATTCAAATAATAATTAACGATTACGCCCACAAAAGTTAATATACATGAAGAACACACCAATTACCTCATACTCAACTGCGGCAGGACAATTGGTCCATAACCTATAAATGACATTAGATAAGATTATAAATCAATGTTTTTCTTGCAATTCATTAAAAAAGCTAAAGATTTTACCCAAGCTTTGCCTGATTACAAAGTTTCATGTAAATAACATGATGAAAAGATACTAAATATTCCACAAAACGTTCTGATAATACATTCTCATATTCAGTATTTATTGTATGATACAACTTGTCTTTAGTCGCGAATAAGATTACGCGTTCAATTAATCCAAACATGTCAGGAACTTTCAATAATGGAATTATTTGCTCGGAAATATTTTCTATGCATGTTGACTAAATAAAAAAATGGAAATTTATATAAAGGTTGATGACTAAAGGAATCAAATCCATGTTAATATTCATACCGGGAGTTGAAATAAATAATTTTCAACGTTATCTAAAAAATTTGTGATGATTGAAATGGCTTCTTCAATGTACGAATTATCTAAATCAGAAGATCCTGCACCACATAAATACGCCAATTTTTCTGTGACGTTATCGCCTTGTGAATGACCGATGGAAATGGTTCGCAATACTTTTAAACACCAATACTTTGGCAAACTTAAATTTATTTGAAAAGTTAATTCAATTCACAAAAAAAAAGATTACATATAAATATAAGTTCTTACCCCATAAAATGTGTAAACACATTATCCATTTTATCGAATAATTTAGTATATTCTAATAGGCATTCTAAAATTTTTTGGCATAAAGTATCATGTAATGTCAAAATCCTAATGCACTAAGATAATGCTTCTTTTGTCAATATCTGGAAAGTTAATATTAAAAAGAATAATTGAGTAAAGAATTACGTACTACTAAATCTTCAAGTATATTTTGGACTTCAGGAAATCTAATAAAGCATTCTTCAGCTGTATTACACTCAATAAGTTGCTAGCGAAAATATTAAACTGGTTAAACGAAAGTATTATTACGTGACAAATTTGTAAGTTGAAATTTAATACTTTATATTTACCTCATGTAACGCGTCCAATAACTCTCTGAGTCTATCAACTTTGTTAATAATGTTTACAGTACGCGTTGCATAACATCCATCAAGATCCTTATTTTTTAATTCCCTTGTTAATTCTAAGTCAGTTTTCCACAAACGTAAGAGTTCTTTTAATTCTTCTATAACAAGCCATTCCATTCCAGCATTTTTAATTCGATCTTTTAATACTAAATAAGCCTTTTTCAAAGCCGGACGATCAGCGTTTTTTTTGATTAGTTACACCAAAATTCAAACTTATCAAACTTAAATTTATAAATACAGTCGTCCTCCTATATAGTCACCTCTTATATAGTCACACCTTCTCTTTAATCACATTGATCTACAGTCCCA